GGGCAAAGTAAAAGAAACTAATCAAGCAGAGAGGTCAGGAAGATAGCTCTTATCTCTGCAGTCATCTTACCCCACACTCCTCATAACCTCTGTATCCATTCAAACTAAAAAGACATCCACAAAATTTCATATCCACCGAAAGCCTTCTCAGTTCTAAAGGACCAGACAATGACAATGCAAATGTGCCCTGATGCATTGTTACTGATATTTCAGCAACAAAAGGCACATTTCTTTTCATTTTATGAAAGCAAAAGGTTAATAACTCTTATCTGGAGGCATGTGCTCTCAAAAAATCTTTTGGATTTTGTTAAAGAAGTACCTAATACACTGATGAGTGTACTTCAAAACCTCTTGCCACTATTTCCCCTTTTTTTTCTAGTTTAAAGTTCAAAATGACAAAAGTCACATACCTATACTTCACTCTGATCTGACAAGACTTTGAACTCTTAAACTTTGTGACTTGTTACAATTTCCCAACCATCTTTTAAATGTTTAATTTCATTTTCTTAACACATTTGCAATTACCTCAACTTTACATTTTGAAGCTACCAAAGGGCAAAATCAGACTTATTATTGTGAGTTGACCATGGACATTTTCGAATCAAATCACAAGCCAAGAAATCTAACATGACACAGAACAATAGCAATGTTAGAATAATCCACAACAATATGAGTAATGACCAAGAATACTAAATTCAATCTGTAATCATTTATGATATTAAGTCTGGCAAGAAATATCCAAGTCCTTTCTTAAATGACTAAAATTGCTTTAGGTTGATCGATATCACCATTGAGTTTGAATGACAAGTACAGCTGAGTACCATAGACATACAAATGAAAGCAGAAGCAGATTTGTTAGGGAAAAACAATTCAAGAAACTTTGACTTGAATAAAATCTGTAATTTTTCAGATGGTTACTTTAGAAAGCATTTCTCTCATAAATATACAAACTATAACAAATGCTACCAAGGCTTGACACAGACCCAATTTTTTTTGGGGGGGGGGCAAAACAAGCAGCATCCCAGGCGCACTTTGCATGAACTGAAGCAGCTGCTTAGAAAAATGCCCTGAAAAAATCATTCTGTCCATACAAAACCACCTCCATCTAAGAAAATTAAATCTTTACTCTGATTAATAGGGGGGTTAGGGGCACAGCCCACCCTTGTATGGTACATGTACTAGCTACATAGGGTCTCCATGGGCCTCATCAATGATAATCACTATGAATGGACAACATCCATGTCTTGAAAACAACCAGTGAGAGGGTATACTTAAAGAACTTCCTTCATGAGCCCCTAGAGGGTCAGCCACAGGGAAAAATGCACTTTTTGCACCGTCATGACTGTGGATTCAATAGATGTTGTCTGTAATTCTACATAATTTTACAGTACTCACTGGTCCCCCGTGGGAGTAGGTCATTCAAGACACCAAAGTCAGCACTCATGTATACAAACGTTTACCATAAAATCACATAATCCACAAAGACCTTTTAGAAAATCCACAATGAAAACAAACGTGAAGCTTAGCCTTTTGGAGTTGGTTATCAGAGAAATCATGGCAAATAAACTTTTCTGTTGTTACCAAATAAATGTATAGGAAGAAAACCAGAACAGGTGCTGTCCATCACAACATGATACTGAGGGTGGCAAACTGATGTGGATATTACAAATTACCAAGTGACTCTAGATCAAATCACAGTTTAAATAATGATTCTGATTGGTTCTCTACGGGTCTTTACACACAGCAACACAAATGAGACAACACTCAAGGCAGAAAAATACACCAAGCAATATGTAGCAACTTGTCATGAACCAAAAGGCAAAGTAGTACAAGGGACCGTAGCAATAATTGGGATCACTCACGATGTCGCTCGGTGGATAGTTGCTGTACACCCACACATTACCTGGGATTAGAAACACAGGGAGCAGTAATTAAATTTTCTATGAGACGGGATAAGTTGCAATGTGCTGACCATATCAGGAATCATTTGAATTCACTTTTTGGATTCTTGTCGATGCCAAGTGTTATAAAACTTTACAGAACTACCTCTAGCAAAGTATGGTTCTTGAAAACTTCTTATAATATCCCTTTAGGCTTGTGTGTAAGCTTAGAAGCTGGAAAAGGGCTTTACATATGGGGGACAACTTACCGACAATAAAAAATACAGACAGGAAGCACAGTATGACAAAACTGAAAATCTTCTCTGTGGTGGATTTCTGTTCATTACTATCACCCTCTTGGTGCAACTTTATACATCTTAAAATCATATCAACGAGACACTTCAGGATCGAGAAAGATGCAGTCACAATCAAGTAGATGGGGATGTTGGGTTCCACAGGACAGTCATCTTTGTAAAGGGCACCTACAGGTTGAAAAAAACATCACAACTCTTAAGACTCCATATAACACTCAAGCCAAGTCTATAAGAAGTTAATATGTGACATTAATTAGTAATTAAAAAGGCTGTGTGCCGAAGAAAAATGCAAGCAGCAACTTGTTCTGACAAATAATGCCGATTTAAACATAATTTTAACTATCAATTGATCATAAAAGGGAAAGAGTAACGAGTCTTGTCAAAGTTTTTCCACAAATATGGAAACTTACTTCTCATCTAGAATCAACTCAAAGATAGTCTTAATTCACTCCAAAACATAAGCAAGCACTCACAAACTTTTGAAGGACAAATTTTTGTCCATTCTCTGAATTATTTAAATAAAGCAATGTATTAATAACATCTGGCATGATATTATCAATGAAACACTACATGAATGAATGACGTAACTGCATGACAAAACAGAAAAATTCATAAGACATTACCCATCACAATCATTGCAACTGGGACAGCCAGCAACAGGAATAAAACAGCTGTGACAGCGGCTGTCAATAAGAAAGATTGGAATTAAAGCTCAAAAATGTAACCTCGCCTCCAGACAGGTCAAAGCCCCCCGCCAAAAATATTTTATTTTTGATGATAACATTACGCTTCTTTCCAAGCTTGGCCTGAGGGTGTAGGTAGATTGAGATAGCTCACCACTTTTAACTTTTGGCCAAAATCTACTTGTCTTTCTTAAATGTTTTTCCAACTAAATTTCAGATAAAATCTTCAATTACATGGGCACAAACAGCACCAATACTACTCATGAAACATGTCTCCATCTTTGATATGTACGAGTTGTGCAAGGTTACTTCTTGATGATCAGTTTTGCTACAACCATCTTCTCCTACTACCAAGCAGCAGACAGAAATCCACCCTATTGATTAAGCTATTTAATAATCCCTGCTATTTACTTTTATAACCATAATGCAGATTCGTTAATTTTGACTTTACAAGCAAACACTTCACACAGGCAGCCAATGAAATTTGCTTAAAAATTAAAAGAAACGCAAATCAACAATACTTATGGAGCCAAACAGCAAGCCACATTAGTTTACTGTGAAGTGCTACATATAGGAGAATCCAAGGAACTTCCAAATAAAATACCAATAGAAAATCATTTGAATAAACAATTACTGACATCTGTAGTTTAAACACCTGTGTTAAGTAAGATCTTGGTGACACGGTAAAGAAAGTGCACTGGTGTGGAGGAGGTCTCGTTAGCCTCATGTATCTTCTCAACGATTGATTGGTAGGAGGGTGGTGCACCTGTCAAGATGGAGGATGGCAACAGTAACAATACAAATTTGTTCTGTGAAATATTTGACAGAATATTTGTGGGCAAGTGTGAGTGATATTGCTTGGTATCCGGCACAAACAATTCAACAAGTTTGGTACGAAGGTTGAAACATTCCATGATCCAGACAAAATAAAATTAGGTTCTAGCCCTGTCAATCATAAAAATCAAATGTTTAATGATCAACACCCAAAGAGGGGTGTGTAAACCATACATGTACCTCCAGGGCCCCCATCATAAGCAGGGAGTGGGGCTTCCACAGAAAGATCAACAGGATGAACACGTCCTCGTTCCATAATCAGGTGTAGACTGTGGTTTACTTACAAGACCAAGATCAGGATCTGTGTTCGTCGGACCCTGCAGAAGTTAGGAAGAAAATTGTAAGAATCAATAAATATAAACACAGTAATAATATTCCACAGTATTTGTAGCACCTGCCATTAAACTGTTTGATATTCATGACTTTTAAGGGGGGGTCAAGAATGGTCTGTTGCACAAGTCAGTTTATGACTACATCAGTACCATGTGATAAATCCTTTCAGTCAGTTTCTGAAAAGAGCTATGGAAATCAGCATGTGAGCACACTATACCTTGCAGGCCTCCAAGGGTTCTTTTGGATCCTTTTCAATTGAAAGAGGAGACACAGAAATATTGTAACCCTAAACTTATCTCTATTTCTTCCTTCAACACGCAAACGAATTCTGTACCCTTGGAAGCAATATTGCTTCTATGCTTAAAGTTCAACTTGAATGCTTACCTTGTATGTGCCGCAGGAATCAACATCAGCAATGGTGAAACTAGACAGGCGTCACAAACAAGTTTTCAGACATGGAATTCCCAGAAAGTTAAAAATAACCAGAGCAAACACTCACTGTCTGATCAAAGATGAGAACCAATTTAAAATAAATCAAAAGCTTGTTTACCCCTGCAAATACCCAGCACAGTCTGTTTATTCATGTTTAACTCACAAATCGTCTTGTGAGAGAATGTAGGCACATAGGTTAAAAATTAACACTCAAGGCCTGTCTGTTTCACATGAATGTAGATCTCAATCAGTGATCGCTGGATCCCTCCATCCGTTTGGCAGATTCTATTGTTAATGAACCAATGAATGACTACTCTTTAAATTTTGGATCCATGTGAAACAAAAAGGCCCAAAGTCATGCTGCCAGTTTGGTTTTCCAAAAATGTGGAGAAGCTTTTGTTTATGTCAAGACTTTTTCTTTTTCCCCTCCCCCCAAAAAAATAAAATCTAACAGACTTTGTTCATGGTTTTTGTCAATGGCACTTTGGCTACTTTTAAATCTTCGATCTTAAGCAGACTTCAAATAAGTTATTACCTTAGGCTAAAGATAAACACTGAACATTGATGTCATGATGACATCATCTCAAATCACATGACGAGCCTGATTAAATTGTTGCTCTGTGTTCCTCCTTGGTTGTATGTGCTAATTAGTATTATGGTTTTTTTCATTTGAAATAGAAATAGGAGGCTGAAAAGATTCAAATTTACAACAGGCAGATTGAGTGAAAAACATCAAACATACAAATGATACATCAAGATCATAATTTAAAACCTACAAGCGATACTCGAAGAATGAACAATAAAATAGACAAAGATGTAAAAATGTCAGAACTGAAATAGGACTATATACCACAATGTTGCCAAAAATGCTAAGGAACAAATCATCAAGTTAGAGCAACAAGGTCATATCTCCTGTACAAAACAAGTGGGAGTTACGACCTTGCTGCACTGACACACAAAAATACAAGCAGAAAACATGAGAGTGAAAGGAGAATGAATATGGCAATTCACACATACATTTGCAGAGCTTGACACATACGAGATGGACTATGTTAAAATTCTGGATAGGAGTGAAGAGTAGATTTCTTGAATTGCTTAGTAGACACCTTGGTATGACCAGAGTAGGTTTAGTAGTGGGCTTGAGGTTTCTTACTTGCTTACTATTGTTTTTCTGGTGAAAGATGTGTCAAAATCTGGTTGAGTGCAAACATTTGCTGCCAAAATTGAGTAATAAATCAGACCAAATAAATAAATGTTAAAATCATCAAAATGTCACCACGCAAACAGACGCAAACTCTGGTACAATTTAGACTTGATTGGGCACTTAAAGTGAACACTGACGATACTGTACTATCTAACAACATGATTATTCAAACCAGCCTTTCAATACTATTCAGTTTGTGTCCCAGTAACATTCCGCTTTCAATTTATATCACTTATTCCACATGAACATTCCAGACCAGCTACATCACCCCAAATTTGGAACTGAACACCCACCATTTTAAACCTCACAAAACAAAAAGCAAAACTCAGTGTCAACAAACCATACCCTTCCCACTCTCCTGGTCAATGTTGTCATCTTGAGCTGGAGGACAGACCGTGCATTGATTGAGAGCCAATATTGAGAAGGGAACCTGGGGTGGAATACCCCAAGGACTTTGGCCAGGATTGTGGCTGGGTACAAAGCCAAAGCTAGAAACATGTACACCGTATGAAGAGATTATTATCACAACAAATGTAAAAATGGCTGCCTGGTCTACTCCCCTGTAAAGCAAAATAGTGAATGTTCAGGCAGAGACAAAAAGGAACAGCTAGAAGTTGGCGTATGGTGGAATTGCAAGAGCTTCAAATTGGATAATATTGCTGCCTTGATGACGGTGAAAAAAGTTTAGGCCAGGAACAGTGGTAATACTGGGGTAAATATTGCAATGGGGGAACTTGAGGGCCCTCATTTTGTGGCAGGGGGCACACAATGGGTTCGGTCACAGTTCAAAGCACTGACCAAGGTGGACTAGCACCAGATTTTTCCTACTCTATTTTCTGAGTTGGGAGGAACGAGGAGGAAGGAGGGGCACAGGCCTCAAGCAGAAAGGGGCCTGTATCCCCAATGCCGCCTCCCCCATTAAGCCACTGGCCAGGAAAAAGTGAAATTATACATATTCTGCGTTTAAATTTACATGATATGAGTACATACGGTATTCTGGTCCAACCTAGGTAGGGACCTTCAAATCCCGTAGTATAATATAGCTTTGACGGGAAACCTCATTTGTAACTCAAGTTTCTTTTTTGCGGTGATCTTGTAGAAGCCTGTAGCAATTGCTGGTACATAAAAACAACCGTTCTACATAAACAAACTTTGTAGCAATTTTGTGATCGGTCCAGTGTTGTATCTTCGATCCTTCTAAACACTTCAACTGCGATCTCATGTACCTGTCCAGCATGTCCGTCTCTCATCTAAGGTGGCAGCAAGGATACAGCACAGGCAATACAGCAAATACAGCAACACATTCCACCAAGCAATATGTAGGAACTTGTCATGAACCAAAAGGCAAAGTAGTACAAGGGACCGTAGCAATAATTGGGATCACTCACGATGTCACTCGGTGGATAGTTGCTGTACACCCACACATTACCTAGAAATGAGAAAACATATGCATGACTAAACTTCTCTGTTACCTGCACACAAATTCAGTATCACATACACACTGTGTACAGTGGTGAAGTTCTGTACATGGTCCATATGCACAGACTGCCTAGACATTATGTACATAAACACAAAATGGGGGATTAGACAACTGATGTCACGGATGAAGTCTGGACTCACGAGGCATGTATTCAGCCCACATTGAAACCACCGGTGGCCATATTATCATGCCAAATATAAAAGCAATATGAAGACTTGCAGGCCAATGTTGAGCAAATATTGCACGGCAACAACAGTTGCTATGGCAAGTGAGCCAGTAATCACATTTGTACTCGGCACGGTAAGATGGCTGCCGGCTGCTTCAGTTAATAAAAAGTTTTTTAATTCAAGACTTTTTTATATGATGTGATTGGATTAGACATCACATGCCTGCCAGTGGAGAGTCCGGGCATGAGACGACAGATAGCAAGACAATTATCACAAGTCCTGCAGTGTCAACCAGTCAAAAATAGAGAAACATACCAGCAATAAAGAATGCAAACAGAAAGCAGCCCAGGAAATGACTGCAGATGTCTCCTTTCGTGGATTTCTGTTCTTCAGTATTATTGTCTTCTTGGTTCAACCTTCCACATCTTACAATCAGATCGAGGAGAGACTTCACAATGCCAACAGATCCATTCACAATCAAGTAGATGGGGATTTTGGGTTCCACGGGACAGTCATCTTTGTAAAGGGCACCTGCAGATACAAAAAGTTGCCGAGGAAACAGGATAAGGAATTCAGATTTGGTATGAACTGCATGGAAATGGGACTGCCCAGGAAATGATGATCAGGTGGATAGAAGGGCCTGGCAATGTTTTTAATGACTCAGATCTTCATTAACTCTGCTTGTCTTTCATTGAAACAGTGACACTCGGCTCATGTATATGAAATTGGAATTTAACAATTACTTTTTCAATACGTTATAAATATTGAAATATGATGTCCCTTCAATGAACAATTTGACAGAGAAAAGATGTCTTGCAACTCCAAGTCCCTATTTTTGCAGATTTTTTCAAACTGTTGAGTATTTAAGGGCAAAAAGAAGAGCGATGCAAAAGTGTTGAACCTCACCCATTACAATCATTGCGATCGGCAGAGCAAGCATCACAGCCAGGAAAACTGTGACAAAAACTGTGGAAATAAAACAAAGATTCGCAAAAGAAGAATTAGGATAAATCCTGGAGGGTGGGGGGGGGGATTTGGTCGACAGAGGTTGCATGACCCCCCCACTCACAACCTGAATACGCCTCTCACTATAGTTTTCTTCTTTCTTCATGACCCAAGTACATTCAGCCTATTCATCAAGTCACTGTCCATTCCGAGCAGGAATAAAAGAGGGCATTTTTTAAATGAAACTGATGACAGTTCTTTTAATCTCACTGCATATGCAAGTTTATGCACATTTGCACAACAAATTTAGTCTGGAATGTATGGTCTTTGCCCCAAATGCATGCAAGAACCCGGTTGGAAAACTTTGCAACATCTGTCTCTGTTTCACCCGTGAGGGTGCACTTCACTCCGGGCAGATAGTCAGGTTTTTCTGATTTTCTGTCACAAGAAAGCTCTACCTATCTAATGTTGAATTTGTACAATCAAAGAAAATCAGAATTTCTCTATTTCAAAGTCACATACCGATAGGCAAATTGAATACAGTCGTTTAACAATAGTGCACCACCAATTAAGAGTTTGCGACGCATTGGCCAATCACAATACGGGAAATTTGTCGACCCAATGTGCGTTTGGAAATGGTCGACAAATTTCGCCCATTATGATTGGCCAATGTGTTGAAAACTCTTGGTGGCGCACTATTGTGAATCGCCCATATTGTTCAACTAGGAATGATAGACATCTGGTTGAATACAAACCTGTGCTGAGCAAGATGCCGATGATTTTGATAACAAAGTGCACTGGTGTTGGTGATGTCATCTTGGCATCTTGTATCTTGCCAAAGATTGACTGATAGGAGGGTGGTGCATCTGTCAAGATGGAGGATGTCAGTGGTTAAGATATCATTCATATCAAACAAAATTCCTGCGAAAGAATTCCTTTTGGTGAGATGCAAGTTGTCTGATGTCCTGCAAGACATGTTTAGCAAGCTTGACTCAATTGGGTAAATTTGGATATATGCTAAGGATTGAAAACAAAATGTTCAGTAGATATTCCCCAAGGTGCACTATGAAACCTTTTAGCACATACCTCGAGGAAGTTCATCATACGCAAGGGGTGGAGGTTCCACAATTGGATCAGCACGGTTCACACGGGATCCATACTCAGAGGCTGAAAATGCAGTATTTGTAAGACCAAGCTCAGGATCTACATCTTTACTATCCTGGAGAGATCAAGCCAAAATGATATCCGTTCATAAACAAGTACAATAATGCTTTACTCTTATTATGCCTGCCAACTGTTCCAAACACTTAGATATTTCAATGCAAATGAAAAATAATTGTTGATGTTGGGACAAGAATTATTTTCAAGGATGGAAATGTGACAAGAACTAAAGAATCCATTTTTGTCAAGCAGTATACTCGGAGTCTCCAGATGATGTGGAGAGTGCACTGATCAATGATTCCCCCCCCCCTTTCTCTTAACACTTCACTAACTCATACAAGAGATCAGTTACACTGTGCAACCACAAGCTTACTTTCAATGCTTCCTGCATAACCTTAATACCTGAACAGTTGCTGACTGCTGCAATGTATGATATGGCAACTTTACACCTTAAACAAAGTGATCGTGTTCCCATGCCAACGTGTACTGCACCTTTTCCTCACTCAAAACAACCTTTGTCAGTCCCCGAGATTTGAAGCAATATCAATAGAACACACCACATCCTTCCACCATTTAGCAATGAAAATATACATTCAAATGTTGCGCTAAAATCTGAAAGAATGCCTACCTTGTCTGTCACTAGATATTCTGCATCCGCCATGGTGAAAATTGAACAGGTGTTACAAGCAAGTATTCAGGAAAAAAAAGGAATTCCCAGCAAGTCAAAAACAACCTGAGTAAACACCCAATGCTACAATGATGATCCATTCAAAATGTTTCTTAGCTTTTCAAATAGCTTGTGACCTCTGCACTCCACTTCAACTGAAATGGTACGAACAAACATTTCCAAACCTGCAGAGCCTCTGGATGAACAAAGTCTGCAAATAAATGTTTACCAAAAAGTTCACTTACATCACTTTACATAGACATAAAGATTAAAAATTGATACTTGGTTGATCTGCAACAATATCAATGTAGATTTTATTGGGCATCATGAGGAAAACTCAAGCCAAGTGTACTTCCTTAAGACTTTGTAACTGATACTCCGTATTGCATGTATATGTACCATATACCAGATTTTTACTTTTCTTTGACTATTTCTCATAAATTCGACCCTTTACTATGTTTCAGTTATCACATGCTTTACACCAAATCTCCATGTTATTCTCAACGACAGATCGCTAGAGATCTTGATACTTCTCTACTCATCTACTTTTATGACCAAGGTTCAAATCCAACCAAGGACACCACTTCAATGATCTAGGCTCCATTTATCAGTCCACCTAAATCAGAATGTTTTACATTTCAATCAAAAACTTCAACAAAGTTTCCATCTGAAGTGACTCCGGTAAACTTCTAGCTGAGGAAATCTGTGTCATAATCAAACAAAACTAACAACAATACTGGCAGCTACGTAATGAAACCTCTCCTCAAAGTCATGATATAATCAGCAGGTGCCTCAGAGATTAGACTTACATCTATTCTCTTGTATTAATTCTTGAAGGATGACATTTGTGCATATCTCTTTCTGTCAGTAATGACTACTCCCTGTCTCTAAATTCCTTAAGAATACATTTAGAATTTGTTTTATATTAAGCTTAGTATACAATTAACATCAAAAATAGATATTCAAATCATATCAAACATATTTGTACATTTTTACATAATCTCGAAATGTATAAAAAAATCTTCACAAAACAAATCTTTGAATTGAAAATACTGTCAGTATAATTCTTACTTCATTTCCCTTCACTAAGTAGCCCAATCAAGAGAAGCGAAGGAGAAACAAGACCTTATAATAAAACTTGAAGGAATATAAAAAGCAAAACAGAACCACAAGAAAGATACTGGTGAGCACTCCTTTACCTTTTATTTTCCCCAAGTCTCATGATAAGTGCTACGCAGTCTTGCTTTTTCTTATAATTAAAGATGGTTTCAATTTTGCTTCTTACTCCAAACTAACAGAACAGTGTTCATTTACACTGATTACATTTCAGTAATTCACTCATTTGGCAAAAGAAAAACAGTTACCCAAAGTAGCATTGGTATGAAAATCAACAGACATTGTGCTCCTACCTCTATGGCTACTGTTTGCAAACAATTACTCAAATCTTGAGATGCACAGTTGCCATGGAATCAAAGTTGCCATGGAGCCAGTGAACTGCTCAGTAGAATTACAGTCTAGATTCCACATGGATCTTGGCCTTCTTATGGATGTCATTGAGCCACTTGATGAGACCTTCATTGAACTCCCTGGCTCTGAAATCAATCAAGATATACGCACATTGTTTCCATGGAGCCAGACTATTGGTTCTATGCATAAACTGATCCTCTCAAGGTGGATATCAGACGGATGAGGTCATTTGGCACAATTTCTGGTATAATTTTATGGTCCCATTTGCTCCTACACAAATACTGGTCAATGGTACACACTATACAAAATGGATACAATCTTGCCACAGGTTCAATAATTCAATTCATGGAATACAACACATCATAAGTCAGTCTAGGTTTATTAGAACCAATGCTCCCATGTGGATATATCAGTTAATGCACTAAGTGATTGCTGAGCATAGACAGGTCTTGCTAGTAACCTGTTGGCTGGGAAATACTGCCAGGAATATAACCAAGGAACACATGATGCACTCAAGTTGTTTGTCTTGAAAGTTTAGTTTAGTTTAGGAATGCCAACTAGCTAAAAACCAACAGTCTGCCCACAAATCTCTGTTGACACCACCTATTATTAAAATTATGTTCTATGGTTCCCGCTCGTTTGATCAACTTCTGTCCACGGGATGGAACTTACTAGATGCTATCCAACAAGCTGTAACAACATATTAATTCAAAACCAGGGTCAAATTATATCTGTTCAACTTGTATAATTGTTGATTACAGGACAGAGCAAAGGAGAGACATAAGAATAGTTTTATTAGTATTATAAATGTTGGTTTGTAACCTCAGGAAAAAGGACTGAATGTTGTTAGAACATGACGTGACGTGTGGAGTATTAGATTTCTGCGACGGGGGCAAATCTTACCTTTCCATTTGAGTCCAGTGGCCACAATTCTCAAGATGGAGGCGAGACAGATTAGGCACCTGAAAAATTTCCACAAATTGGTAGTAACACATCCACAACAAGTTCAGTGTTCAACACGTATCTTGGAAACTGGATAAGCAAATACTGACTTGACCGAATATAGCAAAAGAGGTCGGAACAATGTTGTGAATCACAGATATTAACCCTAACCCTCCTCAATCCTTCACCTGTTGGAGGACTGAGGAGTGTTAGGGTTAAGCCTGTTGGTATGGCTACTTACCCAAGGCTCCATATATTTACTACTTGCTGGAGTCAGGACTCGATCTTTCTCCGCAGTCACCATCAGAGCTGGAGCATGTATCTACACCATGAGAAAATAAAACTTATGGTCAATCTCTAAAAGTTTATTCTCAACTTCAATTACAATGATTTTTCTCAGCCATACTTACTCAAAACTGCTAAGAAACCAGAGCTTGCTATATCCTATGATTCTGTCGATTTTGAACAGGAGACAATTTCACATCAAATCTGCAACAGCGCAACACAACTGCACTAAAAAAAAAAAAATTGACGGGGAATTTTTGTTTGGAAACATCACACACTGTGAGTTTACCTTGCGACCCACATCTTTCAGGGAATCTTTCCAATTTTCTTCAACATTCCGATACCAGTTCAAGGGACCCCTGGGAGAAAAGAGCAATCTGATGTCAGAAGTTGATTCCAAATTTCAGACATAATTGCCCAGTTTCTCAGTCAAAATTAACCTTCAACTCTTTTATCATAATATGTTAGCTTGAAATTAGATTAGTAGATTTAATGTATAGAATAAATTGACAACTTCTTTGAATTCTGAATAAAATCAAAGGTAAGCTCCTCATGACACAGGCAAATTATTAACTTTTGACCCAACCTTTGGACATTTTGGGTTATGTCATGCACTTTCATAATTTGCATCAATGCTGTCTCATGCAATGCACATCCACAATGTAGAGGTTGAGGGGTAAGGTGCACATCAAGTAAACTGTGCAACAACAGTCCCACTGTTCATGAACGTTAATATGAAGGAAAGCAAATTTTTTATTCCTTTGGAGTGAATTTAAGTTACCTGAATCCTGATGTCTTGTATTGCTTGACGTAATAGGCCAGATCTTTCTCCGTCAGCAGGGAGGGTCTTGGTAGATTATCAGGAACACCAACAAGCATACCACCTAGGAGAGCAATTGTTCACATCAAACATCATAGCTTATGAGCCCAAGTCAACACAATGCATTGTTATAACACGGTCACAGACGGTGAATTTTTATTGGTCGCAAACTGATCGTGTGACATGTTATAAGTGGGCATGTATCATTCACACATCTTGCGCACTGTCGATGTTGCCAGGCCACAAAAATGATGGATCACAGTGATTGGATTGGATTTATTTGGTATTTCCATCAAAATTAAGTAATACCAGGGATAGCCCATGAAAGTTTTGAAACTTATTTCCAATGGGGTCCCTACTGAATCAGGAAGAAGGTCCAGTTTTAGAGGCAGGAGGAAACCGGAGTGCCTGGAGAAAACCTGCGAGAGTGAGTATGGACTGGAAACCAAATGCACTTAAAACCCGGGCCAGGCCGGGACTCGAACCCAGGCCTCATTGGTGCAAAGCTAGGAAAGATCTTTCCCACAGTAGATGTGGCATCTACAGCATTGTAATTGTGTGACCTTGGGTGCGAGGGTGGATAGCTGCAGTGGTACTACTTTGCTAGTGAAACATGAGTAAACTCTGATCACTGCTTCAGCTGCGATCGTCATTGCTCTTTATTTAAAACGCTCATGCCATTGTATCTTCTTGTTTGCTCTTCAATCTTGTCAAGAATTTGCGGTTTGGCAGGTGGCCTTCGTGGTCACGCAATGCCGGAATTCTTGGAGTCAGCTTTCAGAAAAACATTCCCGTCGGGGTTAATAACATTTTTGTTTTGAAATTTTGCCCCCTCAGGGGCAAATGGCACCCTTGGCTTCACCTCAATGCCATTTGCCTCCTTGGGTTTACAAAACACCATGGATCCCTACACCGCAGTCAACAATTGTTACCTGTGGCTATATGTTTCAGATACACATTCTGAATCAAACTTCATCAATAGTCTCCAATGAATATTGTCTTGGAGTTTCAAAAAGACTAACCTCTTTCTCTGACGTTATGGACACCAATCTTCTCTGACCCTGGATAATGGTCCTACAAACAAATATGGTTTCCTCAATAAAAAAACACATGGAAAATCACAACACTATTACACAATACATATTTAAACATCCGTAAGTCAATAAGACGTACATGGCCAATGCTTTCTCAGCAACAAACACGGAACTACACCGCTCAGTTGAGTTGGTACACTTCAGACCCATTAAATCTAAACTCTGATAACAAGAAGATGTAGAAATGATCACAATGAATAAGAACCCAAGAAGCAGCCACGTCCTAGGATTCTGATGACTGTCTTCCAAATTCAAAATGTAGGTTACATAGGGAAACGTCTCGTCCAAGAACGTGGGACAGTTAAGATGTTGATGACTGGTTTAACAAGACCCAGACGCGGCAATGTTGCTTAATGCATAAGCATGCTGACTCAGAAACTGCCACAGAACAGTAAAGAACGTGAGACATATGAAAAGAAACTTGGTACATTCAAAGTGAGAAGAAAAAATGCTTTTACCTGCTTCCCTGGAGCTCGGAAAAAGAATTTAAACGTTTTCTCCAGGTCTTTCTCCAGTTCAGCTTCAGCAACACCCTACATAGAAGCAAAACAAGATTAATTTGGTTTATGCCACTCCTTTGAGACTACCTCATCTGTTATCAGGTCCAAGACACAAAACCACTGAACACAGTCTGGCATAGATCTTAATTTCTGTGACTTTTCTTGCATCCAAACAAACCGGTGAGGCAGAAATTGTTCTTACTGGTGTCTGGAAGTAGAGCTGGTAATCAAACACTCCTGGCTTCTGGTACATTCTCTGCAGTGGGTTGGACTTAGGGTTGGGTGGAAAATAAGCAGTATTCACACCAACCACACCTCTGGACAAAACAAAGAATTCAGCCAATGAATGCCATGAACATGATAAAAAAACATAAGATGGCAACAAATTAAAAGACTCACTGAAGTGGCACCAAAATGAAAAATAACAATCGACAAAAGAGTTCATTATATCACATTATAGTTGTTTTCAAGGTTTGAATACCATTTACAGGATTTGAATAAACATCTAGAGCAGAGGGAATGTTTTTGAAAGTACTTGGAACATTAAAATCCATCAATACTAAGCCATGGGATATGTTAATATTTCAACCATCAGTATTTTTACCTTGTGCGCTCTGGATACCTTAGAGCAATCTTCCACACGACGGCACCGCCCCAATCATGACCAACAAAGACAGCTCTACGTATGCTCTGAGAAACACACAAACAGAGGAAAAACACACTTTCATTTCTCAAATTCCGGAAAGGAATTCATACTTGAAAACAACCAAATATTTGAAGTGAAATTGACAATTTCACAATTGCAAAACCAGCATTAGAGTGGATATAGCGCACAGACATTACAAATCACTCGTAGTGGCACTTACCAAAGAATCAAGAAGTGCTATCAGATCCTGCAGAAACAAAAACAAGTGCACCATCAATTACTTCCAAACGGTTTCAACTTGGTGCACATTTTGTGCAGTTTTCACGAGTTTAATGTTAATGTGAATGAAGAATTTCAAACTAACCACACTTGGGAGTGTTACACCAAACCAAATCTGGACAAACATGCAGGTAAGAACCAAGGCAAGGTCAAAAATCTGACATCTTACCGCACTCAAACATTCCTGAGTGTAGCCTTTGATATCTGAAAGCCAACCAAATAAATAGTCTATCATTTTAACAGATGCTTTATCTTCATGAAAAACAACAAAATGTGGGATGCCCTATCACTTGCAAAAATAACATGTATCTTGAGGCACACATCCCTGCTATGTATTTGGTAACATTTTTCAAAAAACATGGCAAAATATAGTGCCTTGAAGTACAATTTGGGAAAGGAGAAACATTGACAGGAAACATTGTTTTTACCCTGTGGGGCTGAGGAAAGACCAAAGCCTCTCTGATCAGGAACAATGACTCGATAGCCAGCTAAGACCAAAGCAGGAATCTACAACAAAGACAAACATGACAGCAGTTGGAATTTCTTCACATTTGTCAGCCAGAGGTGTCATTGAAGCATAAGTGTGCTGTACGCACCTGTTTCCTCCAGGAATACCAAGATTCAGGGAAACCATGACACAGAATGACTGCTGGTCCTTCTCCCATCTCGACATAGTGCAGCTTTACACCATCCTATAGTATTTGAAAATAAATGCCTTATATTACTACTTACATTGACGGCCACAACTTATGTTGTGAACACAGAATATAAGGTTCTTTTCTGAAGTAAAAAAAACACAGGCCCAAACGTTTTTTACTGGAAAATGTGCAAAGAAGAGAATCATTCAGAACTACCTGTACATGTACATCATCTGATTTTGAAGAAAGTTCAGTCTCAATGACATTACCTGGGGCTTGACTATTTTAAGTAGAGTATAAAAACATTTTACTACACAGACTTGGAGAGTTTAGGATATCTCATGGCAAACACCAAAGGAGTTAATAAGTAATCCAAATATTACCGATATTTTGTCACCATGTGATCTAAATCAACTTTTTTTCAAGTTTAGTTACCGTTGTTGTGACATAACTGTGTGTTAATTTGTCGGGATCGGCTGAGATGGGTACAGCTGGTTGAAAGACCTGGGAAGAAATATTACACAGAAGAGAGGTGGGCAAATACAAACAAGCACCTCTTCAAATCTGACAACAAATGAAAACAAATGACTGGACTTTCAACTGTCGTATTTACAACAGAAAGAAAGGTGTCTGAACCAGCGTACAGAATAGAATTGGCCAGAAATCCAAAATTTTACTGTCAGTAAGGACTAAGCCAGTTGATGCTATTATGTAAAAGATTGTGGATTGTGTTGATTGTAAAAACCTACTTTGTTCAAAGTAGCCAAGCGAGGTAAAGAGAGCAAAGGACTAGTACTCACATCGATACCGGTGAGTTCCTGAATCTTTGCTAGAGCTGATTTCGAGTCCTTAAACAGGATAGTACTCACATCGATACCGGTGAGTTCCTGAATCTTTGCTAGAGCTGATTTCGAGTCCTTAAACAGGATAGTATTGATTCCAAGCTTCTGGGCATTCTTCAGATTGCCTTTAAGGTCATCGATGAAGATGGTCTGTCAGAAGTAAATTTTAAAGCAGAGAACAAAATAATCCTGTATTATAAATAATGTACTTGGTAGATATGCTGTATTAAGCTTGGAGCTGGAAATGAATTTTATCAGCTGTGTGAAGCACACTGCTATTCCGTGATCATCAATTTTCTTTCTCTTTTTCCTTGGGCAAACGCTGACCAGTCTTTTCTATGTTACTGCACATGCTGCCTGCCATTTTCCAGACCAGAATTGAGTCAAAGATGTCAGTGCAACGACAGCTACCATTTCAATGTTCTTTCTCAAGTATATGCACATTTCATTCTGATAAAGTTCATCTTTTCCTTGTTATTGAGCTCTATCTCATTGGAGGCTCTTACAGTTTAGAAATGACTCTCACTTCTTGAGGAGACACCCCGAGCCTCTTGCAAGCCATGCTGTAGATCTCCAAGTCAGGTTTCCTCAGGCCAATCCGACAAGACTCAATCACCTCATCAAACATCAACCCTGATATCACAAAGAAGTTTGGGTTGTCTTCTTCAGCCTCAGACGGCAGATCATAGATGAAGTTGTTGGTCAGGATGCATGTTTTCAAGCCTACAGAGAAAACAAAAACAGGTAAGGAGAGGCACTTTTCACAGTAAATGATTTTGAAGGATTCAGAAATGATTCATGCCAAAATGACAAAATGGAGGGAGGGTTGAAGTGAGATGTTCAATGTCAGTCGATAGTCTACTGTATACTCACCATGAGTCCACTGTATACTCACCATGAGTCTACTGTATACTCACCATGAGTCTACTGTATACTCACCATGATTCTTCAAGTTGATAACAGCGTTGATCATTTCTCTATGAGGTTGCTGTTTGAGTAAACCCAGGACCATCTCCTTGATACTGAATGTCTGTGGTAGTTCCACATTGCTCTCTTGGGCTGACAGCTCAAAGTCATTCTGTAGTTCTGTAACAAGCTGGAAGGAAATAATACCAATGGTGATGAAGACTATAAACAATTTATATTCTGCCACAAGCACAAATGATAGAGAAATTACAACAAGGTAATATTCCACTCTGCTCTGTTAGATCACATAATTACTTCTGCTTTACAATACACACAACTCCCCCAACAGCTGCTCATGAATCAGACAGGCAATTATAATCCAAAGGGAAAGTTCCTTTTAGAATTCCTTTTAGAATCTTTCCAAAGTCATTCTGTGATGTACATAGCTCAATTACACTTCAATACTACAAAAATAGATATGTATACCAGTGTACCTGTGAGAGAGACAGATCTCCCTTCTCAGCCCTGCAGAATGCATTATCTGGAGCACCTTTCCTCAGAACATTCACAGCAAAAGTCCTGCCATCACAGTCAAACAAAATGCCACTGATAGTCACATGCTAGTCATTGATAGTCACATGCTAGTCATTGACAGTCACATGCTAGTCATTGATAGTCACGTGCTAGTCATTGATAGTCACATGCTAGTCATTGATAGTCACATGCTAGTCATTGATAGTCACATGCTAGTCATTGATAGTCACATGCTACACAGTATCAGAACAGTAAAAAAAGCAAGGACACAACAATGCAAAGTACAATGATGAAAATCCCACTTATAGTTTGGATGGAAAGTGCATCAAGGTTGGCAGGCCCACTGGCTTACGAGTGTCCAACATCATTTTATTACTGAATGCCAACAATAAAAATCCAAAGTAAACTTACGGTGGTAAGCCATGTTTCTCAGCAAGTTGCGTCAAAAAGTTGATTGGACTCTTGAAAAGAACTCCACCCACATCGAAAATAGCTGCCTTGATAGCCATATCGGAACTGAGTCCAGTCAAGAAAGTTCCTGATCATTGAAACAACCCAAATGAATAAGCAGAAAGGACCAAGATTTGAAATATTACAATTTATATCTATTATTCATGAAATAACTAGTTGATGGATAGCCCCTGCCTTCACATTTGGGCACTAATGTCATGAATGTCAAAAAATTCACATGCCAAATACATGTATTGCCAATGGTATGAGGATTACTCTGATTGTGGCAACCAAACGGGTCAAGTGGATTGGCCTCTCAGTTGATCACTGACTGAGGTTTATTCTTGATTTTCACAAATGCTATGAACTATGAATACCTGCAACATTGGTTTACAGTACCCAACAGTAGAGATGCTAGTCACCTAGTCCTAAATATGGAGTGACTGACCTTCCAATTAACAACTTTGCGAACATATTTTCAGTTTTGAACAAAACCTATTGAACTTGCAACCATATTTGAAGAGAACACTTACAATGGTTCAGATCCACAACAATATTTTATTGAAACTGTGTGAATTACTTGTCCCCGTTATGAACATCCATGGTCCTGTTTGAATCGGGGAATTCATGTCTTTTTCTCCTTTACCCATTTTTTTTCTACACTTCCTTCATTTTTTACATTTATTAAGCCACAACCAAATTTACTTGCTGCAGCTGACTTTTGATGTTACCATGGGAAGCCATATGTCAGCCCCTGTGGTGATTTTTAAAATCAATGTGCATTACTGCCAGTTGTAGTTTGAAAACTCAGGCATGACTTGTAGCGTGACCTGCAGCTGCATGAGCGTACAGCCCCAAAGAATCGGCCATGAGTTAGATTCCCAATGCACACTAGCACACTGGAAACATGACCTTGTGCATTTTTAGCTTCTTTTCATTGAGATGCGTACAAACTGAGCAGCGAAATTTTCCTCCAAATATATAGGTAATGAGGGGCAGCAGAAAACGTGTCACCCAGCGAATGTTCCTTGATGTTAAGAAGGTAATGTGCGTGACTGCATAGTCACCAGGTCCCTAATATCACCAGCTATTGTCTGGTCCGATTGGTTTTCGCAGAAAGTGATGAGCACGGACGCTATTGTTGGGCCTAGACCTGTGATGTGTGGCTTAGGCCTATGCTATGTTAAATTGTTTTCAAACTGGACAAATCAGAAAGGAAAGAGTACCATTATTATACGGACAACACTTGACGCCCTTGTGCACGGACCCATGAGACTTGTCTGAAAAAATTCAGGGTTTCTAGGTATTCAGTATTCATACAGAGCATGTGGCATGTAATACTACAGGCCGGGTTTTTCAAAGTGCTATAGGCCTACATCGTAAAATTTATGATTATGGAAAGCTTTGGGTTCTCGTATGAAAGTCTAAACTCTGAGGAATACACCGGTGTAAGTAAAATTGTCGAGTCATTCTAATTTCGGAAGACATTAGGATTCAAAGTTCGTGACAATCCTGCAGTTTAGATTTAAGGCATTTAAGACATGCCATGAAGTAGGGCTGTGGTGGCGACAGATTGTAAAAGAGAGCCACTACAGTATTTCAGTATTTGTGGGGCTAGGCCTAGATCACGTTAGGCCTATGTAGTATGTAGCCTTGGCCTAAACCTCGTGAACAGTTCTCAAAAATGAATTTGGCCGACGTCCGACCACGCTTTACTGCAAAAGAGTGTGGGGCCCAGAGTACGGAGGCAAACTCATTTATTTGGCTGGAATATGAAAAAAAAAAAGGTTCATAAATACCAAATTCTGTACGACGACTTTCCAACTTACAGTAGCACAGCGCCCTCTATTGACAAAATAAATAGCGCCCTATTTTGATAAAATAAATAGCGCCCTCTATTAGACATACTGGCTGAGTTCGGGCGGCTTGTTCCCGAAGTTCACGATTTGTTGTTCGTGGGTCGGCCGCTCGAACGCCAGGAACAAACAACCGATTATTACATGCAGCATGCAACATGGCGGCGTCTATGCACGTTATTCGAGAGTTAAGGGTTGGTTAGGCTATATTCTTTTCTATATGAACAGGAACATTTATTTCTGTGTTTCGGAAAATAATTGATGTTAATTTTGCAAAGCTTCCCATTGTCTACATGGTCTATGGCTTTGGAAGCCATCTCTCTACTTTTTGCAGCTGTTCAACAAACAAAATCTCACGAGTTTTTCCGTGTGTTCCTGTAAAACCCTGACGAGGAGGATGGTGTGTGATCCTGTTCCGAGAACAGTATTCTTAAGTCGTGTTTCCGCTGTTCGAGCGCGAGAACAAGAAACCCGTGTCAAGAATAGGCCGCCCGAACTCGACAGGGAAGGCGCTTGCAAATAAATAGCGCCATCTATAGTGATACAAAGTTCTGCTTTTTACTAGCCACAGCGCCCTCTTGCAACCTTATCATCATTCAGTATTCACTTTTCCTAGGGCCGGTGCTGGGAAAGAAGTGTGGGAAAAATTATTTAAGTGACGGGAACTTCTTTGACCCATAGAGGTGGTGGAATTTAGTCCTCTGTATTTGACAAAAAAAGTCCAAAACTCGTTAAACCCCAATCCACTCTCATCAACTTCCAGTCCCAGTTTAGTTCTAGGCGGACGTTTAGGAGTTTAACTACAAGCATTGAGGAAGGACACAGGAGGTGCAATTCAGGCATTTCAAAGTGTTCAATGATGGTCGCAGCCGAGTCAGACGAATAATAGAAAACATTCCAAAAATGCCCAATTACTGCCTGCAACTTAGCCGGACAAGCGGGGCCAGTAATATCCTAGCAATACTTGTTTTGTGATTGCAATTAAATACAAATTATCGATGTGACCACAAAACAGAAAAATTCTTGATTTAGACCTACTTTTGCCATCGTAAATAAAAATTTTGAAATTTTGATACACTGTTCCATTATCCATGCAAAGTTTGTAATTTTATTCTCCTGCATCCAATACATCAGTGTTCAAAGACTTGGTACAAATTTGGCTGAGACTGGCCAACAAAATGTACACTCCTTCTGGAAAGCTTACAGTTCATTAGCAACAAAATGCGCCATTTCATCACAGGGAGTGATCGTGAAATCTCATAAAATACGCTTCTGAACAAGCTATCTTATTTGGGATCATCTGCATAATGGTGCCCTTAATAACATATATCTATTGTGGCCCTGCCATGGTTGTGGTCACGGACCTAACTAACACACAAACACATAAGTCTTGAACTAAGTCAATGTCAGAATAACAACATCAGTATAGTGAAAAATATATGAGCAACGTCTTAATTTATTGCCACCATTGAACTCTTGACATCAACACATTCCTTAAACATACAAGTTTGGCTGATTTCCAGAAAGCGCACATAACCACTTTCAGAAAGATTGTACAAACACTGTTCAACACGATGCATATACATGTACATACATTTCCAGACCCACATCTCTACTTTTTTTCACAAAAAGTTGTACCCGTTTCCATCAGGTTTGCTTCAGTACAGCAAAAAGCTGGATTATTACCATTTGACGATAAATTTTATCTGGTCATTGTTTTAATCTGTGACATAAATATTAAGCAAATTTACACTGAAAATTGTACCTCCAATATGTCTAAAATATCACAAAATAAATGCATCTTTGACTTGAACAGTGTGAAACTTACACCTTGTTATCTACAAACGTCTGCACTGTGGTAGAAACACTGAAAGATGTGACTGTAAGACACTGTCAAGTACGAGTCAAAAGATTTCAAGATGATCAAAGTAGATGCTGAATGCAATAAACAATAGGGGTATGAATAGATTAAACCTTCTCTGGTGTAGCAGAGGCATGCAAAGATATCACGCTCAACCTTTTTCTTCCTTGTACAATACATGTAGTCATTCTGAAAAACAGACGACCAAAATCCCCGAAATTTACAAGAAAACAAAGAAAGATAAAAAATAATGCTCCTCTGTTTTTCAAACTGGATTTGAGTACAAATTTTACCATCTTGCAAACACCTAGACATCTTGCCAAAATTGCAGAAAACGCATCACATTGTAAAATTGAATTTTATCTCTAGTATTCATAACTACCATCAATTATACACAGTAATTTAGTACTGACAGATTTAGAATAAACTAATTTAATATTGAATGACGGCTGTCTCTTTTACTATAGAGTCAAATGAAAGAAAAATCATGCGTTTCTAACCTGTCACCAATTGTATTTTCAAAAGATCTGATTATGTAAAATTTTCTGTGCATCTAAATGTTGTAGATGTGTATGTTATTTTCACTGCTTTTACATTTTTGTATACAAGAAATTAAATCAAACATTTGCAAAAGATAGAAATGTTGCTTCACAGAAGAAGCTGCAGCTAATTTGGATATTTATCCCCCTTGCTATTAAGACACGACTTCTAAATAAACTATAATGAGTTGATACCCCAAGTGGGGAATGTGAACATATGTGGTACTTTGTGTGTCCTGTATACAGAACCTGAAAGCCTACACTCCAATCATAAACCATAGAATAACAAACTTCAAAAGCAGACTGCAAAAAAAATAGATATATCTGAAGTTTGTTTTTCAATCCAGGCATAATTTCTTGAAGCTGCTTACCATGAAAATCACGCTAAAGAAAATTCTCGCTAAAAAAAAGTCAGCTGATGATTAGCAAAATTTATACACAACACATCATCAGATTTTCGCTGGCAAATGCAAACTTTTAAAAAATGGCTTCGATGAAATGACAGTTGAAGAGTGACTCCTCTCTAGTATGTCATTCACTAACAGCGGCGGTGGCACCAGCAGCACAGCACACGCAGCAACACACCAACGCCAGGAATATGTAGCAACTTGTTATGATCCAAAATGCAAAGTAGTACAAGGGACCAAAGCAATAATTGGGATCACCCACCATGTCACCAGGTGGATAATTTCTGTACACCCACACATTACCTAGGATTGGACAAACACAAAAATCTTCATCAGCAAACCAGTTCTGAAAAACCATGAGTTTCACTGCTTAGAAATACAGCATTTGTGGCACACCACAATATGATGGAAAACTTCTTTGGAAA